TTTTATAACAAAGAAGAATCTAATGGCCCTTCAAACACTTTAACTGTTTCAAAAATAAGGCTTACTTGTGAATTGCTGCCAAAGCTGCATGCACTTCTAAGGAGACTACCTAGCTTGTTTCTTCCTCCCTTTAGTTCAAAAAATTTTCTTGGATCACTTATTTCCCATTATCCTTCCTCATTTTTCTTTGCTGTTCTTTTCTCTCCCTCCACCCCACACAGTCATCACTACTTGCAGTTCCAACAACAAAGTGCCCAGATCATCAAGCAAAAGTGTTTATTTTATTTTACTTATTTATTTTTTTATTGTAACTCAAGCAATACAAACCCAAGGTTTATAAGCAGACGAGTCTTGTTTTTACAGTGGTTTCTGACGATGACCTGCAGCAGGTCTGTGGAGCATTTCAGAAGTTTCTATTTTTACCAAGTGACCCATGAGTCCTATGCACAGTAGAGTTTGAGAGGTAACTATCTTTCCTCTCACAAATTCCGTGGTATATAGAAAAGGAAATATAAGGTTATAGTCATATTTTTTAAAAGGTGATGGATTATTTAAAAGAAAGAGTTCAAAACCTTATTTTCTCAGTGATAAAGTACTGAAACTGAAACAACTACTGGTAAATTAACTTTCAAAAGAAAATTATGGCATTGCCTTAATATATTACTATACCATACCCATCAAATATATTAGCATCCAATAATATAGCTACGTAATACATTGTGTAATGGGAATTTCTCTCCTTGCATTCTATGAATATTATGCTAATATAGTTCTAGTTTAATAAAAGTCCTACTAAAAATAGGCTAGTTTGATAAAACATAATATCATGCTTCAAATAGAATAGTTAGCAGACTCTGTAAGACCAGGCCACCAATATTTTATTGTTATGTTTACCTCATCTACTTTCCTATTTTCTAGTTTCAGAGCATCCTGAAGGCAAGTGCTGTCTTTTTTCTAGTACTTATTAGAGTATGGAGTGCAGAGTACATATTCTTTCAGTAAATGTTGAATGAATGAATGAATTAATGGCTAGAAATACAATACACATTCCAGAAAGAAAACATATACATGAACCACAGTCAACTCAAAAATTTAAAAAAAGTACTATACATAGCTATAAAGTAAAAGAAAAATACAAAGGAATAGAAAATAGATATCTTTAAAATAAGTAAGAAATAATCACTCTGGCTGACCTCACTTAGTAAAGCATGTAGACATTTTAAATAATCTCTTAATATTTTATATGTAATAATCTAAGACATACTTCCATAATTGTGCAAAGTTTCTATTTCTAACACATTAGTCAGAAAGAGGATGCTGATGGGCTAATGTTTAATGTGGTGGTTAATTAATATTGTAAAAATCTAGATGAAGATATAAAGGTCAGATAAACTTGCAAAAGGAAAAAAATGTTCTTGTTTAACTGCATTTACTTTACTAATCCTTTAAATCCAGAACCAATTATGAGCATTGTGGTTCTATCAATAATTTCCTACTGAGTATATAAATTTAAATGGCAATTTCAATTTTTATTTCATCAGGGCAAGGAAGATAATAAAATTGAATACAAATTAGTGCATGTGGGTCATACACCTGAAAAATTAGAGGAATATTTTGCTCATCATTAGTGAGTTTAAGCAAAGTACTCAAATGTTTCATTTGAAGGACTGAATATAAATAAAAGAATTAAGTGACAAGGGAAATTAACAATGAATGCTCAAACACACAAAATTTGATACATCATTAGACTTCCCAGATTCTCACAGATATGATTTTATTTTAAGAAACTGACAAAGTTTTTTTAATAGAAAAATAACTTAGAAAATAAGATATTATTGAATAATGCAATAACTAAATATATGCTTTGAACACAATCACTAAGTATATATAAACATATGTCAAAAACTTCAATTTTCATAAGAAAACTTAGAAGAAAGCATTTGAAAAACTTTGGGAAAATAAGATATTATTGAAAAATATTATTCAGAAAAATACTAATGGCACAGAATTAGCAAAAACTATTGCTAAAAACTGAATAAACTATGAAAATGTGCTGAGGATAATTAACTGATTATAGTCTCCATAGATTGTTCTTTTTATTGGGTTTTAATTGATATATAGTAAAATGTTCGAGTATTAGGTATAGAGCTTGATGACTTTCCTGGATGCATGCACCCACGTAACTACCAGCCAGATCAAAATGTGTGTTAATAATACCTCCATCATCTCATAAAATTTACTTATTCCTTTCTCTAGTCAATGGCAAGACCGTTATTGTTGGTAGGTCCGAAACAAGTCTTAATAAGTTTGAGAAGATTAAAATCATGCCAGGCATCTTTTCCAATGACAATGATCGCAATGCAATGAAACTAGAAAGCAGCAACAGAAGGAAAACCAGAAAATTCAAAAATATGTATAAATTAAACAAAATCTGGAACAATGGATGAGTCAAGTAAGAAGTTTGGAATAAGGGATGTTAGAAAGTATCTTGAGACAAACAAAAATGAAAACACAACATGCTAAAACATGGGATGCAGCAAAAGCAGCTTTAAGAGGGAAGTTTATAGCAATAAATGCCTACATTAAGAAAGAAGAGTGATATCATATAAACAACCTAACC